TTGTGGGGTCATTTCAGGTGCTGTGTCATGGTAGTAACTGCTGTACTGAAATATTTGTAATATGAAGTGATATTTAAAAACAGATTTTTTTTTTGTGTTTTGGACAAAATATATTTTTTAGGTTTCTAAGATCATTAGAAAGGGTTGTCCTCATTATGTAGCAATTCTGACAGGTGACCCCCAAAATCAAGAAACAAGTTTGTGTTATGTTATGAGATTAGATTAGATCATATATCATATCATATCATATCATATCATATCATATCGTATTTGCACTTTTTTCCAATATTAGAGATCCAGTCTAGATTTTGAGTTGTGTGTATCTGTATAAAATATCATCATAAAGCTATTGAGTGAAACGATTACTGGAAAATGCTAGTAATAACGTCTCGATTACGTATGTAACCCTCGTTTCCTGAAGGAGGGAACGGAGACGTCACGTCGGTGTGTGTGTCTGTGTGTCTGTGTGTGTGTGTGTCTGTGTGTGCGTGTGTGTGTGTGTGTGTTTGTTAGTGTGTGTGTGTGTTTTGTAGTTTTTCATATGTATCATAACATTATTCAAGTAAGCTCCAAGGCAATTCTTGCATTTAAAGTTGTAATCCGACAAAGGATGCAGCAAACCCATGTAACTTACCTGGCCTCGGTCTTGGCTAAACCTGAGGTACATCACCGTCTCCTCCATTATGATACATTAGCATATTGCCCGCCCACTTGTTGCGCACGCAGACCTGGGAAAACTTGATTTTCGCGTTGGTCTGAATGAAAATGCGAATTAATCTTTTGCCACTAGGTGCCGCTTTTGGAGCGGTAAAAATAGCTGTTTCCCCGGTAATGCTGTACACAAAGCAGCACTGCGCGGTTAAGGCTAGAAGGGATACTTATGGCGCTACTGGGCATGCGCACATCAATACAGCGTAATTTTTGTCACACTGTACAACAATAATTACTATTTTTTTCATTATTGTAAGGGGTAGGTTTAGGGTTGGCGTAGGTGTAGACGTTAATAAAACACAATGTAATAGGTATGAAATTAATTTAATTGTTCGTTTCCGGTCTGAGCTGTATCTAAAAAAACTTCACCAGGAAAGGATGAGATATGTTATATGATGATCAAAAATTTATCTGATTTTTCTCTGAACTTTTTATTGTGTCTTTTTAATAAAGTGTGGAGATCAGGGAGACTTCCTTCTTCATGGAAACACGGGGTTATTATTCCTATATTAAAGCCAGCCAAGAACAAGCATAATGCTGACAGTTATAGACCTATAGCATTAACGTCAAATTTGTGTAAATTAATGGAACGTATGATTGTGTGTAGATTAAACTATATGTTAGAAAGGAAAGAAATTATTTCACCACATCAGAGTGGATTCCGTAAAGGACGAAGTACATTAGATGCTGTTCTTAGTTTAGAAACAGACATAAGAAAGGCTCAAGTTAATAAAGAGGTGGTAGTAGGTATCTTTTTTGACATTGAAAAAGCATATGACATGCTTTGGAAGGAGGGGCTGTTAATACAATTTGAACAATTAGGAATTGAAGGCAGAATGTTTAACTGGATTCAAGATTTTTTACTTAATAGAACTGTTCAGGTAAGGGTTGGGGCTTCATATTCCAGGATATATAAAATAGATAATGGTACTCCACAAGGAAGTGTGTGCAGCCCAGTATTGTTTAATATCATGATAAATGATGTGCTCCAAAATGTCAAAATAGATATAGGAAGATCTCTCTATGCTGACGATGGAGCGATATGGAAAAGGGGTCGTAATGTATCTCATGTGACAAGAGTTATACAATCAGCAGTTAATGAAGTGGAAAAATGGGCTAACAAATGGAGTTTTCGACTATCGGTGACTAAAACTCAACTAGTCTGTTTTGCGAAGAGGAATCATATCCCTGAAATAAAAGTGAAGTTATATGGACAAGTACTTGAACAAGTTAAAGATATAAGATATCTAGGAATATGGATGGATTCCAGGTTGACCTTTAAGATACATATTCAGAAGTTGGTAGATAAGTGCAAAAAAAGTAATAATATACTACGATGTTTAACAGGAATGGAATGGGGAGCTAGTAGGAAATCTTTACTAAGAATATATAGTGCACTGATTAGGTCAGCAATTGATTATGGATGCATAATTTATGGATCTGCTTCTAAATCCTTGATTAAAAAAGTAGAAACTGTTCAGGCACAATCTTTAAGAATATGTAGTGGAGCTTTCAGATCTTCTCCAATATCAGCCATACAAGTGGAGCTGGGAGAAATGCCTATAAGTTTACGAAAATTGAAATTAACTTTGAATTATTGGATACATGTAAAAGGGCATTCAGAATTACATCCAGTAAAGGACATATTGAAGGATTGCTGGGAATATGGGACAAATAAAATCAAAAGTTTTGGTTGGACAGCAACTAGAGATGCCACGATTTTGGATATTACAGAAATCTCAGTTAGTCCCTCTGTTGTAATACCGAATATTCCTCCTTGGTTGCTTCCTATGCCTCAAGTAGATTTTCATCTACAATATATGGTTAAGAATGAGAAAACGTTATCTAAGGAGGTTGTTGTTCAACAATATCTAGATCAAAATTACTCTTCAATGCTCCATATCTTCACAGATGGTTCTAAAGATCCTACATCAGGAAAGTCAGCTGCAGCTGTATACATCCAAAGATTACAAGTCAACATTCAGAAAAGGATAACTAATTTTGTATCAGTCTTTACAACAGAGCTAATAGCAATTTTATTAGCTATTCAATGGGTGGAGGAAGTTAAGCCTACTAGGGTAGTCATTTGTACAGATTCCTTGTCAGCTTTAAATAGTTTAATAAGTGAACAATCAACATCAAGAAAGGATTTAATCTATGAAGTACTTATAAATCTGCTTAGGATTCAGGAAATTGGTATAGTCCTGAGGTTCTTATGGGTACCTGCACATGCAGGAGTACTAGGAAATGAAATGGTTGATAAACTGGCCAAACAAGCAATAAAACATATGAACGTTGAGGTACAAATTCCACGGAGTAAAGTAGAAATAAAAGGAAGAATTAACACATGAATAAAAAGTGGCAGGAAATGTGGGACAAGGATTTAAAGGGCAGACACCTATACAATATCCAAAAACAAGTTGGCAAAGGGAGAGTATGCTTTAACAATAGAAAAGAAGACATAATAATTACTCGACTTCGAATAGGACATTCTGGTTTAAATCATTCATTATTCACAATAGGGAAACATCAGTCAGGATTGTGTACTACATGCAGTGAGGCAGAGACTATTGAGCATGTACTTCTACATTGTGCAGTATATACCAAAGAAAGAGGAGTCATTTAAGAAACTGAGAAACATAGGAGTAATTAATTTCACTATAGCAAATCTTTTAGGTTGTGCCTCAGAACAGACAAGTACTATGAGAGAAATTCTTAGTTATCTGAAGATAACAGGATTAGAAAGTAGAATTTAAATGTCATAATAATACTACCGGTTGTTTTATTTACTTATGGATTTATTTTTTTTTGGTTCCCTTTTCCCTCTTTCCCGTTAATGCTTCACACTCCAGTCCAGTTGGTGGCGGTAATACACCATAAGTTGGCTTGTCAACCGCCATAAAATCGTACAAGAAGGAGAAGCACCCGGGACTTTTATTCTGCCTTGCCGGTGTGACGTCACACGCCCGCGCCGCGCTACTGCTCTCTTGTGATTCGGCTGAAGAAAGGTCTGTGTATTCATTTAAAGTGCTCAAATCGATGGGGAAACTATTCAGACGTTCGTGTAAGTTTTACAAGAACTGTAAAATGAACGAACTGTTATTGAGTGTAACATGATTAACGCTTTATCCAACAATCATGAGCGTTAAAGGCGCGTCTCATTTCTCCGGCTGCGTTCCGCTTCTCGTTTAGACAAAACTGACATTTGTTTGTGCCGTAAAAAACACGCAAACGTGTAACTCTTAGCGATGTTTTACGTGTCATTCAGACCGCTTAAATATATATATATGTGTGTGTGGGTCAAAGACGAGACGTCACCATTTTGGTGTCCGCATCCAATTAGATTTACAAAAGTCATTTTAAATACATAAAAAACATAGTAAATGCAAGTAAATGGTCTACTTTAATATTTCAAATAACCTTTGTGACAATAAAATGTCAAAATATGGGGGAAATAATGTTCCTAAGTGTAAAATTGTCATTCAGTGTAATGGTCTGGGCTTTGATTTTACCAATACATCTTTAAATAAACATAAAATACCAAGTTAAAGAATATATGTGTTGTCTTGGCATTCTCAAGTAAGTATTGGCTGTGTTATATTAAAAGGGCTATGTCTTATTGTATTGACTGTTGTCCCCCGCAGTTATTCTGAGATCATTCAGTGTAACAGGAGGAAGTTATTCTGAAATCATATAAAAACTGATAGTCATGCGGCAGTCTGTGACATTATTGAATAACACCTGGAAGACCGTGTGGTGCTGCAGAAAGTGAGTTTATTGCTCTGAAATACTTGATCATTTCATCTTTTCATGGTGTGGTAACAGGTTACAAAAGCACACGTCATTCAGTGAGATGCCAAAAAGAATATATGATCATACTAAAAAAACACTTTTGATGTTAGGTGTTTGGAAAAACAAGTAGATGTTGTGAATAACTGTGATTATCTTTACTGGCTAAGCTCACTGTTTGAAATAGCTGGCCATTTGATTGCCTGAAACATAAGCTAAAGCAGAAGTTTGGTTATTCAGTGTAATGCTAATTCTCTGTTACACCACAGTGTCATCCATTACACTGAATGACCATATCGCTGTATAAATAACCATTTTAGCATCTTATTTATATTACAGATAAATTAGGAATGTTTAGCAGTGACAGATATGTGTTAAACTTAATAAATATTAATATTTGAATGCATTTTGGTATTGTTTAATTTGATTATTGATTAATTATAGACACCCATGAAGAGAGTCACTAGGCACTGTAAACAACCAAAATGCTGATAAAGTAAATGTGGACCCAGTAGCTTGGGTGGCACTCTTAAAGCCCATCCACACAAGAGCAATAACTATAACCGTATGCTAGCCTCCACACAGATGAACAATAGCACTGTTCATGCTAAGCATGTGCTGCAGGGTTGTTGTCTGCCACTTTAAATGCTGGAGCTCGTTAAAGTTGAATGGATTCTAATTGGCTGTCAATGCTTTTATCATTCATCAGCTGGAAAAAACAAACAAATCCAACAATATAAAAGAGATTCCAACAATAGCATTTCTCTGTGCAGTTATTGTTAGTTGTGCTGTGGAACCTGCTATTCTTATATACAGAAGGGTTTTTTCCTTCCACTTTTTTGATTGTTTTTTCAGATCACTGAGGGGATTCTCCACACAAATACTCATTTATGTTTGCAAACAGAAAGTATTAATAAATGTGGCTGAAAGCAGGATTTTTTGCGGCTGAGCAAGTCAGAAACAAAGTGACAAGCTAAGCAAGCATGGCAGGGGAGCATCAGGAAAATGCTTATTATATTTCAACATCTGTTTCTGCAGTCATTTACTCAGGATTATTATTAAAACGCATTTAATGACACGGATTCATACTAAAAATATTTCAGTTATGGGAACAATGGCAATGTTATCTCTCTTTTTGGCAAATTGTCATTCAGAGTAATACATATTTATGTAAAAATGAAACTATATACTTATTCTGACCTGTACTTATAAAAATACAAATAAGAATATATGATCATACTAAATTTTAATATATTTTAAATGATTTTCACTTCCTTACAAAAACTTCTTGCTGGCAAATTGGAAAACATAGTGGTTTGAAGGACATTAGCAAAGTATAAAGATTTAAAAATGAAAGTTAATTGATATTTGAGGACTGCACTGTGATGCTTAAATAGAGTCTTTTAATATGTCATCAAATGATTCATGTTTTAAATATGCCTTACAAGATTTTTTGGTATATAAATATTGTTACACTGAATGACATTTTAGTGCCTGTTTTCTGTCAAACATGGTAAAAAATGCATGATGGTGATTTTTTGTTTAGAAAAATATAAACGTAAACAGGACGCATTCTAATATATGGGGAAAAAACTAAACTTAAAGCTGTATTGAACTTTTATTTTTTGATGCTTTAAAAAACCCTTTTCGTCTTTGACCCATATATATATATATATATATGTATATGTATATGTATATGTATATATGTATATGTGTATATGTGTATGTGTATATGTATATGTGTATATGTATATGTATATGTGTGTATATATATGTGTGTGTATATATGTGTATATATATATATATGTGTATATGTATGTATATATGTATATGTATGTATATGTATGTATATATATGTATATATGTGTATATGTGTATATATGTATATGTATATATGTGTGTATATGTATGTGTATATATGTGTGTATATGTATGTATATATACGTGTATATGTATATATACGTGTATATGTATGTATACGTGTATATGTATGTATACGTGTATATGTGTATATATGTGTGTATATGTATATGTGTATTCACCGCTTCGAAGCGCTCCAATCGAAATGATTCACCGCTTCGAAGCGCTCCAATCGAAATGATTCACCGCTTCGAAGCGCTCCAATCGAAATGATTCACCGCTTCGAAGCGCTCCAATCGAAATGATTCACCGCTTCGAAGCGCTCCAATCGAAATGATTCACCGCTTCGAAGCGCTCCAATCGAAATGATTCACCGCTTCGAAGCGCTCCAATCGAAATGATTCACCGCTTCGAAGCGCTCCAATCGAAATGATTCACCGCTTCGAAGCGCTCCAATCGAAATGATTCACCGCTTCGAAGCGCTCCAATCGAAATGATTCACCGCTTCGAAGCGCTCCAATCGAAATGATTCACCGCTTCGAAGCGCTCCAATCGAAATGATTCACCGCTTCGAAGCGCTCCAATCGAAATGATTCACTGCTTCGAAGCGCTCCAGTCGAAATTATTCACTGCTTCGAAGCGCTCCAATCGAAATGATTCACTGCTTCGAAGCGCTCCAATCGAAATTATTCACTGCTTCGAAGCGCTTCAATCGAAATGATTCACTGCTTCGAAGTGCTTCAATCGGCTCGCGTGTCGCGAATCATTTGATTCAGATCGGGACGCCGGAGCGGGTTCGCGGGATGTTTTTAAATCACAAATCACACCATGTATGTTTATAGACTGCATGTAAATGGTTGCCTATGGCTCGCATCAATTTAAAAATAATTATTTGGTTATGCTTAAAGTTTGACATGTCCGAACCTATTGCCAGTTAATATAATCTACTTTGTCTTTGTTCTTGTTTGTCGCTGCTGCAAGTATAATTTGTTCTGAAAATGGTAACCTAAAATGTAACATCTTGTCCTAAATTAACTTTTCAGTCAAGAAGGGGGAATAAAAAAAAAAAAGACACGGCCCCCCCCCCCACCCCCAGCCTATATTAATACATTTATACTAACAAAATTAATTTGATCCGTTTTAATGAAATAATTGCAATTCACTTCGAACAGTGTATCTTCATTATTATATTATTTAAATAAAATAGTAACCTTAGCCTAGACTTTACCACAGAGACAGTGATTAAATTGTTTTAAAAGTGTATTGCGTTATGCATTTTGCAGTTAGACTATGAAATAAGCGAGCATGAACAATTCCAGATATTAGTTGCAGCATTTTATCTTTCTCGGCGGAAGATGTGAAGTGATGTATTGAAATGTTATAGCCTACACTCACGCTCCTGTGAGTTTCAGTAGGCTAATAGAAAAATCACTTCTCTGACACATGTCTATCAAAGTTTTAATTAACCGGTAAATTGTCCTGACCTGCACACATGCTTTTTTAGAGCACATAGCTTTTCTGCACAGCCAGACTTGTTTAACGTGTTTCTGCTCACCTCAAAAACGTTAAACCATGCATAGCTTGGAAACATCTATTAGCTGTTAAATATATTAGAAAATTTGCCATGCACATAATGATATAGTGCAGTTATATAGACTACGTAAGCAATGACGTACATCTGAGTGAACGAGACGGTGGGAAGTTAGCGAGGGAAGGCCGCAAAAAATTGGACTGGAACGCAGCCTCAGTTTATCATAAACACGGATCAAGTAGCGATGAGAGAAACTAAGCTTTTTAAAATTCCGAGTCACTTGAACCGATTGATTCGCCAAATGATTCAGTTGAAGCGCTCGTGGTCATGTACGTATGCATTGTTGTTTTGAGCATACATTGTTTTACGTTTATTGTTGCAGTAATTCCTGCATTTTTGTTTCCAATCATATTTAAGTGTTTGTATAATTTGTGTTCTTTTATTAATTTTTAGCACTAGTTTTGAGTTTAGCACTCTCACTTTGACTGACTTGAGAGATTTAGGTTGGGTTATTTTTTCCAGACACAGAAATCCTCCTGGTGAAGCGAGATGGCGGTTATTAAACAGGAGAGTGAAGACCTGAGTATTGCAGAAGTATTTAGCTTGAAACATGAAGACACTGAGGAACAAACAGGTTGGTTTCATTCTCAAAGCTGAACTCACTCATTTATTCATTAAAATGTTCAGCTCTACAGAAATGAATGATATTTTTGAAGAATGTCATATGAGTGTCCTAATTAAAGAGCTTTTATTTGACTTGGAGCGGGTCATTTGACATGTTGAGATAACATGACCAGACTAATACTGATGCTGTCTTCAACCAGATCCAGTTTTTTCTTAAAGGGGTCATATGATGCGATTTCAATTGTTCCTTTCTCTTTGGAGTGATACAAGCTATTGGTGCATAAAGAAGATCTGTAAAGTTGCAAAGACTAAAGTCTCAAATCCAAAGAGATATTCTTTATCAAAGTTAAGCTTCAACCACGCCTACCTAAAACGGCTCGTTCTAACACGCCCCCACATGTCTACATCACTGTGTGGGAAGATTTGCATAACGTCGCCCAAATGTTCACGCAAGGAAAGAAGGCGTAACTTTTATTCTCGCTGTAGTATTGTTGCTGCCGCCATGTCCTGAAGACGCTGTGTGCTTCGTTGTGAAAGCGAAACTAAACTCACTCAAGCCCTCTAGCCATAGGTAATGGCATATGTTTCATGTTTACATTGGGCACTCCCCACCAGGTACAATATTCTGATTGTTTGCATCTTGTGTTTAAGCCCATAAATAATAATGTACTCGTTCTAATAAATTTATATTGTAATGTACTCATTCTAATATATTAAAAAATCATATTTACATTGCTTGTAGGTATCATTGCACAAATTAACACACTCTCTACATTTAAAAAATAAAAATTAGAGGAGTTCTAAACTAATGCGCTGGCTTCTGTATCTAACGCACACACACGCTCAGTCACTCACACAGATCACGTTGCGGCCGCACTCAGACATTTAGGAACAATGCTTTTAGCGCTGCCCTGCAATTTGATCAACTAAATAGCTTAATCGCTCAAGAGCTATATTATCCTCCTCAACAAGGAGCTGGTAGCATCATTGTTTCTAAAGGAATTAAAGCCACAGCTTTACTGTTAGTAGAGAAACGCGGCAAAACGGTGGTAATTCATACATACACAGCCTCTCTCGCGCTCTCTCTCTCATAAATGAACACTTAATGAATTACACTTTTCTGATAATAGGATATTGAAGTGGAGATCGCTAAACTGCAAGCTAACCGGTGTTTTCAGAAAGCAAGCGCGTTTATCCACAGTGGAGAGAGAGAGAGCACGTGCACATGGTTGCCAGGTTGACAAAGATAAGACCTCTGCCTGAATAGCAGCTCCAGGTCACTAGGCTTTCTGTGAGCCTCCTTGGAAGATGTCCTGACCATAGAACTCGGGCCTCCTCTGGCTTAAGCGAGTCATCCTGCTGAGGCTTCTGTTCTCAGATCTCCTATCAGTGATATTATTCCCTTAAAGGTATTCTCAGGAATACCAAGCCATGAGCTCTGCCTATGGTTATGCCTTTTTTTAGAAGGGTTAAGCCAGGACTTTATCGGTTACAGTTTTTAGCATTGGTGTACACCTTAGGGACGGGAACTTATTTAGAGGAGTTGAATTTAATGTAAGTCTAGAGGTCTCTAAACTTGGTACTGGAGGGCCGCTGTCCTGCAAAGTTTAGCTCCAACACCAATTAAACTAACCTAAACCAGCTAATCAAGGTCTCACTAGGCATACAAAAAACTTTCAGGCAGGTGTGTTGGAGCTGGTTTGAGCTAAACTCTGCAGGACAGTGGCCCTCCAGGACCGAGTTTGGACACCCCTGTGTCAGTCAATAAGACGCTCATACCTTTATCATAGCAGAGTGGGTATTTTGTTCCCCGTAGCATGCTGTAGGGCAGTGTTTCTCAACCAGGGGTCCGTGGACCCCTAGTGGTCCTTGACATAAGGCCAGGGGGTCCGTATAAAGTATGAATTTTTGTATAAATGTTGTATATTTTGACATGACATGTTCCCATGAAAGAAAAATCCAATATAGCTGATGATATGGCCAAATACTGGACAAGTCAACTAACTTGAATTATACTTTACTGCATTTGGTCCTCACAAAGACACAAATGATTCATAGATGAGTCAGTTTTGTTCTGGGGATCCTTGAGGATGGTTCTGAATTGGACTGGGGTCCGGTACTCCAAAAGGTTGAGATCCACTGCTGTAGGGGATGCAGTGCCAGTTCCCATTCGAAAATGAACATATCAGGTTATGCATGTAACCTTGAATCCCTAAGAGGGGCAATTAGAAACTGTCTACTCGCCATGCTTCATGTGTTCCTGTGTACATTTCCTTCAGAAAAGAAGTGAATGATGTGTTATACAAATGCCCTTTTTATACTCAAGGTCGCACCAGTAGTGTCATTGTAAGCTGTCGCTGGCCAATGTCATGTTCTTTGTTGTGTTTAGACTTGTGCTTCAGACACTGGTCATGCTGATGGCATTCCCCCATAGTGTTCTCTAGGGGACGCAGTGTCTCGTTCCCCTTTTCTTACCACAAAATTATTAGATTAATTGTCAAAATAGTCTACCAATTACTCAATTACCAAAATAATGTGACAACCCTAATGTGTTACACTGGCCAGGTGAAGGAAGGAGGAGCAGAGGAACTACAGCCTTGTATTTAAAATCTTAAGGCAAAGACTATAATCAATGAGCATTGAAGAAAAGTAAAGGCAATCTAGGACTGACTGAAACTGAGGGACTGAATACAAAAAGAGTAACTAAACATGACGTGAGCATAGCAAGGCAAGGCAAGTTTATTTATATAGCACATTTCATACACAATGGTAATTCAAAGTGCTTTACATAAAAGGAAGTAAAATAATCAAAAAATCACAACAATAAAACGGGGAACTTCAAAACTTTAAAAATTATTTAGAAATTGATTTAAAATGAATTTAAAAGTTAAAAATAGAAAACAATTATACATAAAATACAGTGCAATCAGTTTGGACGTAGCACAGTGCTCATTCAATAAATGCACAGTTAACAGATGAGTTTTGACGCTGTATTTAAATGTGACTAAGTTTTTAGCACATCTGATCTCTTCTGGAAGCTGATTCCAACTGCGAGCGGCATAATAACTAAAAGCAGACTCCCCTTGTTTTGTGTGAACCCTTGGTATTTCTAACTGACTCGATCCTAATGATCTGAGTGGTCTGTTAGGTTTATAATCAGTGAACATACCTGCTATGTATTTAGGTCCTAGGCCATTGAGTGATTTATAAATGAGTAAAAGTACTTTAATATCAATCCTAAATGTAACTGGAAGCCAGTGTAAGGACCTGAGGACTGGTGTGATATGCTCAGATCTTCTGGTTCTAGTCAGAATCCTGGCAGCAGCGTTCTGGATGAGCTGCAGCTGTCTAATGGTCTTCTTGGGAAGGCCGGTGAGGAGACCATTACAATAGTCCACCCTGCTGGTGATAAAGGCATGAACAAGTTTCTCCAAGTCTTGACTGGAAACAAAACATCTAATTCTTGCAATGTTTTTGAGATGATAGTATGCTGATTTAGTTACTGCTTTGACATTACTACTGAAACTAAGGTCTGTCTCCAGAATCACACCAAGATTCTTGATTCCAAGATTTTTAGTTGTTTGACCCCTAGTCAAGGTATGCATTCACCTTGAGAACTTCATCTTTGTTTCCAAATGCAATGACTTCAGTTTTCTCCTTGTTTAACTGAAGAAAGTTCTGGTACATCCAACTGTTAATTTCATCAATGCATTTAGAGGTTAGGGCAGAGGGAGTCAATGGGGCTGTAGTCATTTGGAGATAAGGCTAGGTAAATCTGGGTATCATCAGCATAGCTGTGATAGGCAATTTGGTTCTTTCTCATTATTTGACTTAGTGGGAGCATATACAGGCTAAACAAGAGCGGTGCCAGAATTGAGCCTTGTGGGATTCTGCATTTCATAGACGTCCACTTAGACTTATGCTCTCCTATACTCGCATAATAACCTCTCCCTTCTAAGTATGACCTGAACCATTTGATTACCATCCCAGAAAGCCCGACCCAGTTTTCTAGTTTCTATAGAAGTATGCTATGATCGACAGTGTCAAACGCAGCACTAAGATCTAGTAGTACCAGCACTGATATTTTACCAGAATCAGAATTAAACTGAATATCATTTATTATCTTAAGTAGTGCTGTCTCTGTGCTGTGATGCGGTCGGAAACCAGATTGAAAATTGTCCAGTTATCCATTTGAGTTTAAGTAGTTGTTCAGCTGATTTAAAAACTACCTTTTCAATAATCTTGCCTATAAAAGGAAGATTTGTCAGACTCTCAACAGTAGCAAAAAGTGTGCGAGTGTTGTTTAAGTTACTGTTTATAAGGTTTGACAAGAAGGTCTATCTAGCTATGGCTAGTTCCACATTGAAAGCATGAAGGCTGTCTTTATAGATGCTATAGTGAGCTTCAAGTTTCGTCTTCCACCACATCCGCTCAGATTTTCTGCATTGTCTTTTCATACTCTCTACTGCTGTTGATTTTCTCCAAGGTGATTTTTGTCTGCCAGTCTTCTTATTGACTTTTACAGGAGCAATATCATCAATAACATTCTTAACTTTTGAGTTAAAGGAATCAAGGAGAAGATCAACAGAGTCTGCAGAAATGCTTGGTGTTAAAGATATAGCCTCCATAAATAGCACACTAGTGTTTTCGTTAATGCATCTCTTTCTGACAGAGACAGATCTACAGTAGATCAAAGAAAATACAGAAGTGATCAGATAGTGCTACATCCTTAATTACAATGGATGAAATGTTTAGACATCTACTGATGATTAAATCTAGATCTAGGTCTATAGTGTCCACGATTGTGTGTGGGTTCATGCACATGCTGAATAAGGTCAAAAGTGTTAAAAATAGTTATAATTTCTTTTGAAGTTTTGATTTCTGCATTATCTATGTGAATATTAAAATCCCCTACAATAGCAATACAGTCAAACTCTGAGGAAATCATTCATAGCATTTCTGTGAACTCTTCAACAAAGGCTGGAGAGTATTTTAAAGGCCTGTACATAATGATAAACAGAATTTTTACCTTTCAGCACAATCCCTAGATATTCAAAAAACAAGTACTGACCAAATGACACTTGCTTGCATTGATAGACATCTTTAAATAGAGCAGCTACACCTCCACCTCTCCTAACAATCCTGCAGACACTCATGAAAGTAAGGTTAGGAGGGGCTGTTTCATTGAGAACAGTTGCACTGCAGCTGTCAGTAAAACCCAGGTTGTTTGTGGTTAAGTCATTGATCAGAAATGATTTATTTTTTAGTGGGCGAATGTTTAAAAATGCTAACTTGATGGCATTGCTTTGTGTCTCAACAATCTTAGTTTGATGCATAATAGGCCACAGATTAGATGGGTCAGCCGTACGGCTAGAGAAGGCCTTAGACTTTCTATCACATGATAAAACCGAAATGGAGAAAGCTACAGGCACACTGGGTTCCCACTTGTTCTGTAAACATTTGTGAATGTTGCTGCTATCATAGCGGGGACCCGACACATATCACTGAGGGCTGTTATCAGTTGTTTTTGGTTCACCTACAGCAGATGGAGGGTTTGGGCCCTGGCGTTGTGGCAGCGGCCGGAGAGCTCTCACAGGAGGAGGAGGACGAGCTGGGCCCACAGGCTTTGGTGGTTGGTGGCACCGGAAGCACTAGCTAGTAACAAAAGAAACCAAATCACTGTGACAATGAATTCGAAACCGTGAAAAAAGGAGACAGGAAAACAGAAATTGAACTTGAACATTGCATTACCCTTATTCCCAGCATCGACTGACCAAAGTGGAGACCCAGGCAGAGCCAAAGACCGGGAAGATCAAGGCGGGTCCAGAACGACAACAGAGCCCAGTTGAACCTGTAGGATGATGGACCACAGTGGAGCCGATGGGCAAACAGACTGCGGTGGAGCCGAGGAATCAATGCACCTAGGCCAAGCTGAGGACCAGGGCACTAGGTGAAACCAATGGAAGGGAGAAGCCGGCAAGCTGGATGGAACCAGCGAGGATGACGAGGCTTTGGATGACTTCCCATGATCGGGACACAGGAGGGGGTAGAATGGGTGAGTGGTCCATTCTAAGGTGTGTAGGTCCTTGACTGCTAGCTCTGTAACCACCAGATTTGGGAACTCAGGGACCAGAAGACTGAGACCAAGGAGTTCTGGAAGTTCGGTAGTGGACTTTAGAGTTTCTGGGGAGGCTAGATTGATGAAAGCAGGGTCCTTCTCCACTTCACCAATGCTCTGGAAGGTAACAATCTATATTTAGAATCTGGGATACAAGAAGTACAGATTTCTTGATACGAAAACATGGGAAATGAGCAGCTGTGCCTACCTACTTCTAACTCGGATAAACTGTAGTAAAAGGTTGTTTGTTGCCTTTGCTCATGACCACTCTTCAAGCCCCAGTTAGCCCACTTTAGACCAAAGTATTCGGCAAGCCAAAAATCCCTGGCTGTTGGCCCCAAGGAAACCCCAAGTAGGCACGATCAAGCCCCGGTAGTGATAGTGAAATCTCAACTGACCCTGGCACGCACTAGCACGCTGGCCTTTTGCCCGACAGTGGAAACATGGCTGTTGGCATAATATACTGAACTCTGATGATAATGTTTCTCAGGGACAGCATATACTAGGAAAAAAGCAGAGGACCTAATACTGAGCCCTGTGGCACTCCATAATTGTGTTTGATAATACATCTATTTGTTTACACAAAGTATCAGCAGTCAGATAGATTTGACCTAAGCCGTGTTAATGCTTATCAAGAAATAATATAATTCTCAAGCTATTCAAAAGAATATTGTGTTCTATGTTGTCAAAAGAGACTAAAAGACACTAAAAGAAAGATGTACTCATGATTAGATGCCAAAAGAAGGTCTTGTAACACTTTTGTTGTGCATCATCTTTAGAAGAGGCTTCCTTCTGGGACGACAGCCATGCAGACCAATTTGATGCAGTGTGCGGTGTATGGTCTGTGCACTGACAGGCTGACCCCCACCCCTTCAACCTCTGCAGTAATGCTGGCAGCACTCTGTTAGAGTATCATTGTTGAAGAAATGTGAATGCATGCAGTTTGGTCTATGAACTCCTCGCTAGTGTTGTAGGCTGAAGCTGAGTTTTCTTCATTACATTTTTCTTCAATTAATTGCATCTCTGACTCCTGGTCTTAGTTTAACATATCTGATCCTTGGGTCTTAAGCCTGTGTTATACTTTTCGCATGAGCAATCCGGACGCGTACACGGACAGCGCGGACGCGGTCTACTTCTATTTATACTTCCGAAAGCATACGCTGATGGTCCGCTCCGCGGACGTGTTCCATACATGCGTAGTAGATCGGCTTGAACAATAAAAAAACATGTGAACAAAGAATTGGCCAGAGTTATTGTACATCTGGCTGTCTTTATATTGTTTTATCGACGGATTGTACAGGTTCAAGAAGCAACGGGCTTCTTCACACAGCCTGCGCATGCGCAGTAGCCTACTGTGGACAAGTACACGTGGTCACAAAAAATGAGAGGTACGCGGATGTCCGCATGGAGCCTCCGCGCACACTCTCCGATGACGTTTTTACGTCACGCATACCATAGCGGACTCGCGGACGCGGAAAGTATAACACAGGCTTTACCTGTACATCTCCTTCACGTCAATAATGTTGGTGTTTAAATCCTGACTGAAACTGTTCACAAGTACCATTGCAAAGTGAAGGGGCTCTTTTATTTTCTAATATTTTTGAGCTGAATGGCAGATTCAGGATTGGTCTATAATAATCGGGGTTTGTTGCGTAATGTTAGTTTTGATGTTTTAATACTTTTATCTTGGTTTTGCTCTCTTGTTACTTTGAGCCATTAAACTCCCATTAACTTCTATTTGTCTTTTTTTTCACTTTAGACCTGATGGCAATAAAAGAAGAGAATCAAGAACTGAAAGAAATCGAAGAGAAAGATCAATATGAGAGACATGATTTCTTGGCTGTAGAAAAATCCACACCGACTGAAACAAATTCAGTTCAGAAGACCAAACCTCCCAGTTACTTAACTTGCCATGAATGTGGAAAATGTTTCACACTAAAAGGAAACCTTAAAAAACACATGAAAATTCACACCGGAGAGAAGCCGTTCACATGCCAACACTGCGGAAAGAGTTTCATTGCAAAAGGAATACTTAATGAACACATGAAAATTCACACCGGAAAGAAGCCGTTCACATGCCAACACTGCGGACAGAGTTTTGTTACAAAAGGCAACCTTAATGAACACATGAAAATTCACTCCGGAGAGAAGCCGTTCACATGCCTACACTGCGGAAAGAGTTTCGTTACAAAAGGAAACCTTAATGTACACATGAAAAGTCACACCGGAGAGAAGCCGTTCACATGCCAACACTGTGGAAAGAGTTTCACACTAAAAGGAAACGTTAAACAACACATGAAAATTCACACCGGAGAGAAGCCATTCACATGCCAACACTGCGGAAAGAGTTTCGTTACAAAAGGAAACTTTAATGAACACATGAAAATTCACACCAGAGGGAAGCCGTTCACATGCCAAAACTGTGGAAAGAGTTTCGATACAAAAGGAACCCTTAATCAACACATAACCATTCATTCAGGGAAGTCATTCACATGTGATCAGTGTGGAAGGAGTTACAAATATGAAGAAAGCCTCAAGTCACCCATGAGAGTTCACACTGGAGAGAAGTCGTTCGCACGTGATCTGTCTGGACATGGTTACAAATACATTGAAACCCTTAATTCCCACACGAGTGAACATTCAAGAGAGAGCGGTTTTATGTGTCATCAGTGTGGAGAGAGTTTCAACTGTAAAGTAAGCCTCTACACTTATGTGAGACTTCATACTACAGAGAAGGCTTTCACCTGCAAACTGTGTGGGGATAGCTTCTCACAAAAAGGAAATCTTAAGTTACACATGAGAGTTCACACTGGAGAGAAGCGATTAGTGTGGAATGAGTCTCAGACGTAATCCTTGATTCACACGTGAACAGTCCTTACAACTGTAAGCTGTGTAGGATCCATAGAAACGTGTTATTCACTACTACAAAGTGACATGACTGGGGATGTTTTGTTTTTAAATGGCACCAGAAAATAGGCATCTCTGTGAAATAAAGGTTATGTTCACACTTAAAGGAGACATATTATGCCCCTTTTTACAATATGTAATATAAGTCTCTGGTGTCCCCAGAATGTGTCTGTGAAGTTTCAGTTCAAAATACTCCACAGATCATTTATTATATCATTTTGAAAATGCCTATTTTCAGTGGAAGCAGAAACACGCTGTTTTTCGTGCCTGTCTTTTTAAATGCAAATGAGCTGCTGCTCGCACCATTGTCCAAAATAGAGCTGCCATTACAGCTCGGACCTGCTAAAAACATCTGTTTTGGTTCTGATTATCATGTTTATCGCGCTGAAATAATGCGCTTTAAACCATATGAGTTTAAACTTCTGATATAGGGTTTTCTGAGAGCACACATCTGAAGCACACGCACAGAAAGCGGCTGTCACAGCATGCGAGTACTAAACTAAGTTCTCATTCACACACAAGTTTACGTTAAAAAACACACGCGTTACAAAAAACAGATGGTTATGTCTGTGAAGGTAAACAACTGGGCAATAAATCACATGTTTATTTTAGATCTGTGTGGCAGCAGCAATATACAGTAAATAAATTAATAGATAACGGCACCGTGGGTGTAAACGTACAGATTAAGGGGCGGTAATATTATAATGAGATCACTTTGCCACGTCACCAAGGGAGAGAAAGCAGACACGCTGGTTTTCTCAGACGCTTGCAGAAAAAGGCTTCCCAAAAAGAGATTGTAAATTGATTGAGAACGCAATGAATGATTTCCAATTAAAGTCCTTTGTATAAAACAACAGAGATACTTTGGCAAATAACCCAAAATTGCCTTATATATCAACAAATGCCAGTGCATTTTTCTCCGTATTCTCAAGGAAGGCCATGCAACTCTTTCATATAAATCACAATGATGAGTTGAAAATTTACAATCAGTAATAAATCTCAGAGCACCATGGTACAAAGCATCCAAGGAAGAAAGAAGGTAAGAAGGGGCATGCTGGTAAACCACATCCCCATATTCAAGAATCGGTAAAAATGCAGCGGACACTAGTTTTTTCCTCACCTTAAATGTGAAACATGACTTATTTCTAAAGAAAAACCCTAACTTCTTTTTTTAATTTTTTACTCGGATACTTAATATGTGGACCAAAACGTAATTTGTTGTCAATAATAATACCCAGGTATCGTGATATCATGAAAATCTGACTTTTCCAGGTTTTGTCACCTTTAAGTTGAATGTGTTGCAAATCTGATTGTCCACCTTTATAACCATGTGCATTCTTTGTCTCTTTATAATTTTGAATTTTATTTGGCTTTTTATTTTTTGACTTGTACATATGAACTCCTGTGGCTGCATCTGACCATCTGCTTTGCTATAGCTTAGTTGTTCTCAAAGTTTTTTTTGTCCCATGGTACACCTTTGTGATTATGAAATTCATCTTTGAAACTTTGCAGGTTTTACATTCACACACAGCTTTATTACACCCTGAAATCTAATATCTGAACAAGTATAAACTTTATTGACGTCTGTCTTGCTGAGACAAATGTTGCAATGTAAATGAAAGCTGATAAATAACAGGATGAGTAAAATAATAAATGTTAAACTGCATTATTTGATTCATCTTTAGTTTAGTGAATGCACACAAATGGAGTCACAATATAAGTTCAGCCCAACAGAGATGAGCTCCTCTCTGAATATACAAATGGGTATCTTCCTGGATCCCAGCTACTTGTCGTTCAGTATCACAGTGTCAGCAGACGCTGGCGCTAATTCTCAGATTAAATAAACAATTGTGACCAGTGCTGGCAAAATGAGTCACAATGAGTTATTTTTATGTTCACATTTATGACCGAGTTTAGACACCCCTGACCTCTAGCGTAGTATTGCATCCCTCATATCTCTGATGAGTCTTTGAGTTTTATCAGATTTATAAAAGACCGGTATGTTACTCACTGTTACTCAGAAGACAGGATACAGGTTTAACTCATTCGAAATACTTCTGCTTAATGTTACACTGTCAGATATGCAAAAGAAATCTATCGTATCTCTTGCTCTGGCTACTGTGTATAGACCACCAGGGCCATATACAGATTTCCTAAAAGAATTTGCAGATTTCCTCTCAGACCTATTGGTTACTGTTGATAAAGCGCTAATTGTCGGAGATTTTAACATTCACATTGATAATACAAATGATGCATTAGGACTTGCGTTTACTGGCCTAATAACTCTTTTGGAGTCGAGCAAAACGTCACCGGGCCCACTCATCGTTTCAGTCACCACTGATAAGCTACCACTAAATATTGTAGAAACTTAATTTGCTGTAAAGCTGCTTTGCAACGATTTCTATCGTGAAACGCGATATACAAATAAACTTGAACTGAATTGAATTGAATATACCATCACCATGTGATGACATCACTCAACCACCTCAGCTGACTGCTGAAACACCAGAACCAGTCAACATCCCGCACCACACCTCCAGCCCGGACCGCAAAGTACCAGAAAGCGCGGTTTTGGTGGTCTGCCTCCCTGACGTGCCACACGAGACCAGCTCTGACTGCTTGCCAGTCACCACACAAGCCCCAGTGAACCACCAGAACCAGCCAACAACTCGCACCACACCTCCAGCCAGGACCCCAAAGTGCCCAAAAGTGCAGTTTTGGTGGTCTGCCTCCCTGACGAGCCACACGAGACCAGCTCTGACTGCTTGCCAGTCACCACACAAGCCCCAGTGCCAAGACTCCTGGGGAACCTAATCGAAAGGGGGGTGGCCAAAAAACTCTACCTGGCCATCAAATTGGAAAATAAGGCAAGACTGGAGGCCCTGGTGGACACTTGAGCTGACCTCACTTTAATGTCAAGCCAACTTTTTGACAGATTTCAAAGTGAAGCCAAGAGACGACAAAGGTCACGGAAAATCTCGCCGCCAGCCGCAGGAACGTCTCGGCCCAAGAGTGAGGTTCAAGGTCACTGCTCTGTACTCTCCAGCTAGCCAAGGACTCTGACTCATACGGACCCCAGGTTAAGGGGGGCTTACAGCTGAATGATGTCACAACAACTGACCCCATACTAGCACTGTGGGCAGACAATTCAGCCATCAGCCTCTCACTGTTCAATGCTCTCATACAACACACAACGAACATTCTTTTTGCTAACAAGCGCATACGATTCCCTTTATAACCCTGCCCATCAACCATGGTGATTGCCAAGGGCATCTGTTCCCTGAACTTGAGGTGGAATGACAGGTGTCTAACCCAGTGAATCTCAAACTTTTTATAGCAGTGTACCCCCTGGGGCATTTAACATTCTTCTGTGTACCCCCTCTCTTCCACTTAGACCGCAGTTACACCTTTTCTATTAAAGGACAATATTTGCCCCCTTAAGTGCTTTTTTTTTTTTTACTTTTATAGAGGCAAAGATTTTCTATCTGTATTAATTGTATCTTATGTCATGTTTTATGTCATAGTATTAACATTCCATTAAGTGTATTATTAATATAATAAATAAAGTAATAAATGATGGCAAATCGAAGTGATAGCCTACTTTAGACTTAAAAATAAAACCGCCAATAGGTGGCGGCAAGTCACTGTCTTAGTGAGCCAGGCGTCGTGTCATTCATTCATTCATTCATTCAGTAACCAAGCAAAATGCTGTAGTTATGAATGGGTTATTAATCACTGACTCTCCGAATCATTCAAAGCCGCAGATTCGTTCACTAACGAAACACTGCTGTGTGTTGCTTGGAGATGCACACCAGATGATACAGATTTCATTGGAACTATTATTTTGTTGCAAAATATAACAAACATGACAGTATTCTGTTTAAAATGTAGGCTACATTTAAAATGTTAAATGTTCACTTAATATTACCTTTTTTTGTTGAACTGTTGTAAAAATTAATGTCACATTTGCCATTGTTTGGATATTCAGGGAAATTTGCATTCTTGCTCATATTTTATACATGAAAACAACTCAAAGGGTGTCTTTATCGAAGAGAGTTTCAATCGATCTCAATGTACAGTGTGTGACAATATTTGCTCTTCATGCTATTAAGTGAAGATCTACTTTAAAGATACAGTGAACAGCAGCGCGATTTGCTAAAGCAGCATATTCAGCGGGCATCCTATCATACGCACGCTGCTTGTGTGGATGCAGTCTGTTTTGACCGCAAAAGATGAGGTAAGCTGATTGGATATCATGTATTTGACCGTTTGCGGCACTCCCATTTTCCTGTTTTTACATTAGAAGTGGCATTTTGCTTGTCAGAAAGACATTTTCGGTTTTAATGTTACTTTAAGTTGGGGTAGAATTCAACTCAGAATTTTGTTCACGTACCCCCCTCTGTCACCTCACGTTCCCCCAGGGCTACGCGTACCCCAGCTTGAGAACCACTGGTCTAACCCATTACTTCCTGGTCCTTCCAGATGCACCGCATGATGTCTACATCGGAGCGGACATTCTGATTCGCCTCAGGGCTCACGTGGACACGATCAATGAAGTGATATGGGCTCCAATGACCTCACAGTCTCCCACTGTTCCTGTCAACCTCAAGAACCTCCTGTCAGGCCAAACCATCCCTGAAGCCTGCGACCTCACAGTCACCCACTGTTCCTGTCAACCTCGAGAACCTCCTGTGAGGCCAAACAATCCCTGAGGCCTGCACGCTAATCAATGAACAAGAGACTGTAGTACCAGCTTACACCAAAGGGGTCGCTGTTCGACTCAACCTGCGAAGCAGCCAAGTTCTCAGCCACACCCTAGGCTTCTTCCAACCTTCACACGAATGTGGGGAACTGGGCTTCACTTTGGAAGCCACACCCCTCATTGAAGTGACATCTCGAGCAGTGTACATCCTGTTCAACAACTGCATAGCAACGGATGTCAGAGTGCCTAAGGCCTACCGTCTGGGTTGGCTAGTGAGTTATGACTTCCATGACTTTTAACTAATTCTACCAATAATTTGACCCATCTCAGATTCGATTCCAGAAGGAAGCTCAGGCCACACAGTGTCAACAGCACCCTTCAAGATCATCACAATAACTTCAGTCATGCCAGTGGTCAAGGAGCAGGT